CTGCCACCCCCACTCCAGCCCAGGTCACGTCTAGGCACCACAGGTGCGCTCCCTGCTCTGAGTGATCAGAGTGACGTTGGGAAGCCGCAGAGCCCGGGTGAAAGGGCAACTAAAAAGACAGGACATGTGTTCATCCACTCAGAAGAGCCTGGGCAAGCCCAGCTCGAGTGTACGTGTCCTTCTCCAGCCTGACCTTCCCCTCGTCGCCTGTCACCCCTCCACTGCAGTCACATGGCCTCTGCCATGCACCATACCCTCCCTGCTTCAGACATGGGCTCTGTGGACCCTTCCCCATGAAACGCCCTTCCCTTCTCTCCACCTCCCTCTTTGCCCAACAGAATTTTAGATCTAAGGCCTCCCTCATCTCTTTCTGTTTAGTTTAGGATTGTAAGTGCCTTGAAGATGCATGTATTTTGGGGTTTGCCTTTGTATTCCCAAGTACTTGGCATGTAGCAGGCATCTCATAAATACCAAAGAATGAGTGAAAGATTTCACATAATGAGAATGTGTGGGTTCCTCAAAGTTCACAGCACTGTGGTAGGTGCCCTGGACCCAGTGTAGCTTTTAATCTCATTGGAGAGATGGAACCCACAGGCGGAGTTGAGTGACTGTGGAAAGGCTGCATGTAGGCGACTAAGTCAGTGAGATTCACCTGGGCACTCTGAAGAAACAGGATGGACCCCCACCCAAAATGCAGTTCCCCTGTCTAGATTGACAATGCCTCATGCATACCCAGGAGGCATGAAAGAATTTGTTGCTCACATAATGAGACTTTCTGGGCAGAGTAGGGGAGTTCCCAAGCAGTGTGAAAATGGCTTGAGAATACAAGGAAAGGTGGTGTCTTGGGCTTTTTGTGATTGCTGGGGAGTGGGGGCAAAGGCTTGCATGATACAACTTCCCTTCAGCACAAAGAAAGGGGCACCCAGATTACCTACCAGCTTGCCTCGTGGAACAGAAGAGGAAGAGGGAGAGATAAGGCTTAAAAGTGATCAGCAGTCACACATCCATAAAGTGAGTCAGTCTTTATTAAATATATCAACTGTGAGTAGTTCTGAGCGGTCCACAAAGGGGAGTGGGAGAGCTGTGTGTTCCAGGTTAGAGAAGATGGATGTGAATGGGGTGGCTGATTTTGGACTGGACTTAAACAATTTGTTAGCAATTTGTAAAGCTTTCCCTGGTGACTCAGACAGTAAAGAATTTAAAGACTCTGCCTGCAAAGCAGGAGACCCAGGTTCAATCCCTGGGTCAGGAAGATCCCCTGGAGAAGGGAATGGCAACCCACTCCAGTATTCTTGCCTGTAACCCACTAGGCTTCTCTATCCATGGGGTCTCAAAGAGTCAGACATGACTGAGTGACTAACACTTTAACAACTTGTAGAACCTTGATAAATAATTATGCCCAACACGAGAAAGGAAAGGAGTAGAATTTGTGGAGGAGAGGACCGCTCCCACGATGCAAGAAGTGTGAACCAGGCATCAAGCTGCGAGAGCGCCTGGCACATTTCCAGGGTTAAGTCAGATGTGGGTGGACAGAGGGGGAAGGACATGGGCTGGGTGGTTAACTGGATGGATGGGAGGGAAACCCTAAAGGAAGAGAGTTGATTCATGTATTTGGACTTAATCTTTATGAAAGTAAGAGACATATGGAAATTTTAGAGTTGGCATTAACACAAAGTCAATGATCCTAGATCCTAGAGACATTTTGAGGGATGGAATTGACAGGGGTTGCTGGCAGCATGAGAATGGGATTGAAAGGGAGGCAGCAGAGACTTCAGTACCAGAGCTCTGTGACCAGAAAACTCACAGCATCCTCTTGTCCCTCTTCCCATGTGGTCCCCTCCTGGGAGGTGCTCTCAGTCCCACTGCTGACCACTTCCCAAACACTTTGTTTGCTAAACCTTACATATCCCTGGGGCTTTTGATGGAGGTGAGTTGATCAAAATCCGTCTTCTTCCTTGGTGTGCTGGAGGGAGTAGTCAAGAATCCAGAAGAGGAGGATAGATGAAACAGAATTGTGTCTATAAGACCATCCTGCTCCCTCACCCCCAATGATGATGCAAATGACAGCTTTCAGGAGAAACTGCATCCAGAGCCAGGTTCCCTGACCTTTTTCAGGCACTTTCATCAATGGAAGAATTCTGTAATCTGGATCGGGACATTGAGGGATCCGCCAAGAGCTGGAAGAAGTTTGTGGAATCAGAATGTCCTGAGAAGGAAAAGTTCCCCCAGGAGTGGAAGAACAAGACAGCCCTGCAGCGCCTCTGCATGATAAGAGTCCTGCGACCCGACCGGATGACCTATGCCCTGCGGTAGGCACAGGTGGCCATGGGGAGGCCAGGGGTGGCGAGGAGGCCAGGGGCAGCAGGGAAGGCTGGGCAAGTGTGGCCAGGCCAGCAGGGCTCAGCCCAAAGCCACGAGTTTACCATGACAGAAACCTTTGTACCAACATCCAGAATCCCATGAGGCCTGTTGCTCTGTGTTCTTAAACACATGTATTGTCAACACATGTATCGTCAACACATGTGTATTGACAATATATTGCAGTATTGCCTTAAAATCTAAGTGAACCATTTGGGAAGAGGTAGGTGCTCATTGACATCTCAGGGGTAAAGAATCTTCCTGCTAATGCAGGAGATGCGGCTTCGATCCCTGGGTTGGGAAGATCCCCTGGTGGAAAGGACTGGCAATGCACTCCAGTATTCTTGCCTGAAAAAAAAAAAATCCCATAGAAGCCTGGCATGCTACAGGGCTGCAAAGAGTCGGACACAACTGAGCAACTAAACATGCATACACAGGCATGGAAGAGCTCAGGGATATCAGGTGTGGAGGGTTTAGCTGCTTTCTGAAGACATGGCTCCTGGCAGTCTTCTGATGGGCGGTGGTGATGTAACAGGACATCTAGGTTCCATAGAGGAGTCAGCAGTGGCCTGGATGGATGGGGATCCAGAAGGAGCCCTGATCTAGGTGAGCAGGTGCATAACTAGTAACACAGGTTGTGAGTGCTGACTTAGTAAGTAGCGTTGGTGTTGCTCCCAGCTCTGTAACTGCCATGCCGTGACCATGAGTGCATATTTCCATTTCCACAGACCTCTGTTGCTCATATGTTATCATTCTGTGACTGATGTATACACATAGACCTTCCCCCCCTCCCCCCGGCAGAGATTTTATTGAGGAGAAGTTAGGAAGCAAATACGTGGTGGGAAGAGCACTGGACTTCGCAGCCTCTTTTGAAGAATCAGGACCAGCCACGCCCATGTTCTTCATCCTGTCTCCAGGGGTGGACCCCCTAAAGGATGTGGAAAGTCAAGGTATGAAAACCTCACCCTGGAGCCTAGGCCGCACCGGCCCCACGCACTGTTGCTCTGCCTCTGTCAGCTTCAGTTTTCCTGATTCAAGGCTCGTTTTGCAGTGCTTAATATTTGCTAAGCATACAGAGATCTGGGTCACTGCCGAACCCACCCCAGGGGGTCTCCACCAACCGGAGGACTGTTCTGGGATATAAAGTAGCAGATTCATGAGGAGACTTTGTCTCACCACCCTCCCTGCCAGCCATTCCCCTGCCTGTAGTTGGAGCAGTGATTCTGAAATACGGGTACAATCCTTTTACAGCTCCTACTGCCTTCACGATAAAGTCCAAACTCCTTAGCTTGACTTATAGGGAGCTTCATGCTCCAGTCTCTCCCTATCTCTCCAGCCTAGTTTCCATTAATGGTTTCTTGTTTCTTCTGTAATAAATGACCACAAACGTAGAGGCTTAAGGTAACACCATTATTTTACAGTTCTGGAGGTCAGGAATCACAAATGGGGCTTACTGTCTACCCCATTCCCTCATAAGGACACCTACTATCAGGCCCACTCAGACAGCCCATGGTCATCTCCCCATCTGGAGATCTTTAATCACATCTGTAGAGTCTCTTTTTCTAGGTAAAGTCACATCTATTCACCAATTCTGGGATTTAGGACATGGACATCTTTGGGAGCTCCTTATTCTGCCTGTATTTCCCTACTGCCCTCTTTCTCACTCAACACAGAAGCCGTTCCATTCTCCTGAATAGTCTGTTTCCCCTCTGGCCTCCCCTTCACCAGACTACCTTCTACTCATCCTTTAAATACCATTTCACTGTCACCACCTCCAGGAAGCCCTACTTGACTTCCAGGGTGCTTGGTATCCCTCCCATGTACTCTTAGAGCACCCTTCTATCTGTATGTCATATTGTGATTGTCTAATGACTGTGGTGTCTTTATGTGAGAGTGAGAGCTCCCTGGGGATAAATGTCCTTTTCAGCATAGTATTCAAGTTCCTAGTGCTTTTCATATGATAGGTACTCAGTAAGTAAATGAGGGGGTGAGAAAATAAATGACTAATCAAAACTGTAAAACTAACAAAATTGCAATATGTTGCAAAGTTAAACCAAGACTCGGTGGGTTTTTATAGATACGGGTCTTTATAGGTAAGAATACGGACCAAGTACTATACCTCCACAAGCAACCTGTTATTCCATATGTAATGAAAGGAATGGGCTTTCCTGGCGGCTCAGCAGTAAAGAATCCACCTACCGATGTAGGAGGCGTGAGTTCAATCCCTGGGTCAGGAAGATTACCTGGAGTAATCTCCAGTATTCTTGCCAGGGGAATCCCAAGGACAGAAGATCCTGGAGGGCTATAGTCCATGGAGTCACATAAAGAGCATGACACGACTTCAGAGACTAAACGACAACAACAATGAAAGGAATGTGTACCATATACCTGGTGTTTGACTCCAAAGAGTAGATACCTGCTTAAGGGAGAGGATCATCTTATTCACTAATTTAATGTATATTTTCATAATCTCCCAAAAGTTCAAGTAGCATATTTTTTAAATACCAATAACAAAAAACTCAGAAAAGTGACAGCTCTCAGTCTAGCCCTCCCCGCACCCAGTATCCTTTCCCAGACCCTGGGCTTTTGCCTATTTCTGAATTTATTCCTTCTAATAATTTCTTCTCTATTTCCTATTAGTAGTTTATATCACTCTTTCTGGGTTTATCAAGTTTCAGTATCTACTTACCCTCTGATAGGAAAAATAAGAACTTAGCTCCCGTTACTGACAATCAATTGGCTTCATCTTAATTTTGCTAGCATAGGTCATCAGGAAAAAAATCATGGAAAGTAAAATTTCTGAATCTTTGGGTGTCTGAAAAGACTTCAGTTTTGCCCACACACTCATTTGATGAGTTCTGCTAGGTCCAAAATGATTGTTTTTACTCAGAATGTGTCCACAATGCTCGATTGTCCTCTAGAACTCAGTTTTATTCCTATGAGACCATATGCTAGTAGGGTGTTATTCTTCCCTTGTTTCTTTTTTCTTTTTTTCTAAGTATTTAATTTTTGGCCACATGGCATATGGGATCTTAGTTCTCTGACCAGGGATTGAACCCACGTCTCCTGCATTGGAAACTTGGAGTCTTATGAAAAGATGCTCAACATCACTCATTATCAGAGAAATGCAAATCAAAACCACAATGAGGTACCATTACACGCCAGTCAGGATGGCTGCTATTCAAAAGTCTACAAGCAATAAATGNCCCTGTTCTTCTCCTCCATCTGCAATCTTTTGCCACTCACAGCCAGACTCATCTTGCTAAATCTCAGATCTGATTATAATGCACTTCTACCAAAACCTAGTGGCTCCCCACTGTTGTAAAGGTAAGGTCCAATGCCACTGACATGGTCTCCGTGACCTGCAAGCCGAAGTCTTTCTGTCCAGCCTTGGATCTTTTGTTGTCGTTTAATTGCTCAGTCATGTCTAACTCTTCTTTTGACTCATGGACTGTAGCCCACCAGGCTCCTCTGTCCATGGGATTTCCCAGGCAAGAATACTGAAGTGGATTGCCATTTCCTTCTCCAGGGCATCTTCCCAACCCATGTATCAAACCCACATCTCCTGCATTGGCAGGTGGATTCTTTACCACTAAGCCATCAAGGAAGCCCTCAGCTTTAGATCTTAACTTCCCCCAAACTCACACCAATACTCCAGCCACATGGCTCTCTTAGGGCCATCACCTCATGAGCCCTCCCAGCCCAGGGCATTTTCACAAGCAGTCCCTTTTTTAAATTTTCTTTACAATATTATATTGGTTTTGCCATACATTGACATGAATCCACCATGGGTATACATGTGTTCTCCATCCTGAACCAAGAAATCCCTTTTATCTGAAATACTTCTCCCCAGTTCTTTGGTCCAGTGCCTCCTGTCCTGCATGGATCATCTCCTGAACTTCTCCCTGCAAGACAATCTGGGTCTCCCTTACACATGTATTTGCATCAGAGCATTTAGTACAATTCTTTTAAAATTTGTATTTATTTATTCATTTGGCTGTGCTGGGCCTTTGTTGCGGCACGTGGGCTCTTGATTGCGGGCCTTCTCCAGTGGCAGCGGGCAGGGGCTACTCTCCAGTTGTGACGTGTGGGCTTCCCACTGCACTGGCTTCTCTTGTTGCAGAGCACAGGCTCTAGGGCACACAGATTTTGTTGCCCTGTAGCATGGAGGCTCCTAGTTCCTGGACCAGGGATAGAACCCAAGTCAGCTGCATTGGCAGGTGGATACTTAACCACTGGACCACACCAAGGAAATCCCGATGCAATTCTAACTAAACCTTTCTTTTATTATTTAACTTACATTTGCCTACCTACTTCTCACTAAGACCCTGGAGATCAAGGACCACATCATCTTGCTTAGGATTTTATCTGTGCCTAAAAGTCTGAGTGGCACAGAGCGGGGCTCAGTAAATATCAGTCGGATGAATTAGCAAACGAATGAATGCACATAAAAGAACTGTTGTCATTGCAAAGTTGTTCCTGACTTTCAGTTTTTTTTTAATAGAGTTCTGTATTCCTCTGTCCCATGGAGGTTTTATTCCTTTCATATTAACAAATCTAGCCTCCTCATTTTTAGTCAATGTTTTCCTTTTTGGGAGCTTTCATATACCCTGTTTATGAGCAATGTCCTCCTGTTCTTTGCCAAGTGACCTCCAACTATTTCATCATGTAGATTGAAGCTTGCTGTCATTCCAGGCAACCTGACCCGTCCCTGAACCATATTGGTTATTTGTCTCTGAATGTATCATCTCAGCCCTGCCCTTGGTTTAACCTTCACGCACATTCCCTTGGCAGAGGCAATATTGCCGCTCATCAGCTAGTGATTACCTATGCACCTGTGCCGCTTTCTGGGTGGCTTGACTTGTTTTCTCCTGCACCCAGTTAGAACATACACTCTGGGTTCATCATGCGCTCCCCATCTTGGGTCTAATCATTTTGTCTGATGGACTCCTGTTCTCAGGTTTGGAATCCACACGACTGACTCAAACACTTTCCCCCATGTCTGCTAGGCCCCCGCTTATAAAGGAAACTCACCATCTGCACTTGGGCAGAATCTGTACATCAAACCGTCCACTGCTTCACTCCACGTAGCCTCTTAGAAAACCTGGGATCCTTCCCCGCCTTTGAGTGTGTGATCCATGCTCTTCACTCCTTCATGCCTCTATCCCTTTGTCTCATCATGGCAGTTATTATTTATTTACTTGGCTGTGGTGGGTCTTCACTGCTTTTCTCTAGCTCCCGAACAGGGGCTCCTCTCTAGCTGTAGTGCAAGGGCCTCTCACTGCGGTGGCTTCACTTGTTGCAGAACAAGGGCTCTAGGGGGTGTGGGCCTCAGTAGCTGCAGCTCCCAGGCTCTAGAGCACAGCCCTCGTCGTCGTGGCGCACGGGCTTAGCTGTCCCTGCAGCATGTGAGGTCTTTCCAGACCAGGGATTAAACCCGTGTCTCCCGTACTGGCAGGTAGAGTCTTTACTACTGAGCCACCGGGGAAGCCCCATGGCAGTTCTTAATACTGGGTCAGGTTTTAACGCCCTGAAAGTCAGATGAAAGATTTTATTTCTCCCACCCTCCCTCCAGCCCTTCTCCCAAAATGCATGAACCCACAGGCAAACAGAATTCTCTGTATGATCTTGGGAGTTCTCTCAGCTTCCAAAGCTCATCTGTTGACAGTTGATTAAGGATGTGTGCTTTTCTGAGAATCTGAAAAGTGAAAGATAGATATATTACACATATACCTGAAACTGACACAACATTGTAAACCAACTATACTCCAATATAAAATAAAAATGTTTAATTAAATAAATTTTTTAAAAAAGCATCTGTGCTTTTCTGACACTTGTGTCTCCTCCAGGATTTTCCATCCTCAGCAGAGGAGGAGGAAGAGGAAATTCCATCCACTGTCTTTGGCCTCTATTTGAACATGAACCTGCCACCACCCACCCACACTGCATC